AGTATGAATAGGAACCTGGCCCAAGATTTTTTTTTTACCCCAATGGAAAAAGCAATAAGCAAGATTCCATCTTGGTTCCCACAATGTCAGTCGGAAGTCACCTCAGTAGCCAGCTGAGTTTGTTTGCATTGCTGGAGATTAAGATCAAGTCTCAGTACAACTGGATGTATCAATCATTAGCAGAGAGCCTTTGTACCTGGCGTTCACACTAACTGCACATTTCACATACAAGTAACAATACACACAAAGCTCATCTCAGAGTATTTCATCTCTTCCAATACAAGAAGCAAGAGGAAACAAAAATGAAACAAAAGCAAGCAACCTCCTTCTTGGAAGAACACGCACTTGACAATGTGTTGTTCTATCTGGTCACTATTTGAATTTTATAATACTTGTGACGCTGAGTCACCTTGTCCTATCAGGAAACAGAAGAGCTATAAATCACCCTCCAGTGAACAACTTCAGTCACTTCCACAACCACCTGAAGAAGGACGAAAGAAACTTCGGATCTTCCTAGAAACAAAAGGTAAGATTTAGATTGATTTGTTTGCTTAAAATATTGATTTTTTTTTTTATGTATTAAAAAACAACTTATTGTCAGAAGACTTCTTGAACAGTTTAGGTCAGTCATGGAAAGAGTTTTTTATTCAGTGACGAATAAGTGTTACACAGGCAAGAACATAACACAAGCTGAAGAAAAGGGAGAGAAAATTGATGAACAACCAAAACCAGCTGAAAAGCTGCCTGTATGCAAGAAAGCAGGATCTTGACAGATTATATGTACATAGAGATGGAGACAGATTGAACATACTGAATTGAATATATATTCAGCTCAGTATATTCTATTGCTATATATAGCTATTACCATTTATTTTCAGAGTGGAGAAATTACCACCTTGTGCAACTTACTACTCTTGTGCAAGGTGGCTGCTAAGTGGGACTTTGTGCAACAATGCTGTACACACGAAATGACAGCTCGTATTATTCCATTTCAGGTCATTTCCAAGGATAATAAAAAATAATGGGAATGTTCCTTTGTAACAGCTATTCAATTGTACGAGTAATTTAGGACACATTTTTTCTTTTTTTTTTTTTTAGTTGGAGGGATGGGAAAAACACATTCACACAAGTTTGCTAAAGTCATACAAACTAGGGATGCTAAAGCACCATCTTTCAGTGGCAGATCCCTGCACACAGATGGAGTTGCAGGAAAGTCAGTAAGACTTGGCACATGTTCTGATTTGTGTTTGATTGAGGGGGAACAGGGGAGGGGGACAGAGAGACTGATTTTAGGACCAGTGCCTAGAAATTAATGCAGAGCAATTAAATTTACATCTCATAAACTATAAGCATTTGGCTGAAATCAGTGGGATTGCCAAAAGTATGTTAATATCTTGGAGCAGGAAATCCACGAGGTCTTAAAAAGCATTCCAATGGCATTTTGAAACTTGTATTGTGTATTAAATTACCAATTATATTTAATTGTAAGTTAATTCACAGAAAAATATTCCAGTGAGTGAATACTTTGCCCATGTCTTTAAGTTAGCTTCTTCAGTTTGGTTTGAAAAATAGAAAGCTTCCCAATTTCAATGAAGAGATATTTTTCTACTGAAACAGAGAATTTGGTTTTACATGGTTTAGATGCAAAAAGGGTAGTTTTCTATTTGCATATCTTCATATTTTGCACTCAAAAGATTTATTTTTGCTTGTAACTTGAGTACAGCTAAAAATACGTGTGTGTGTCCCCTCCACATTTACTTTCTGGTTAGAAATGAAGTGAAAAGAAGTTTTCATGTTATAGGGGGTATATTCTTTTATAGCTAAACACCTAGGCCCTATACATTGCAAAGTTTTGTAATGGCTCGGAGGAATAATTGGCAAAAATTTTAGTAAGAAAAAAAACTTCTGTAATCACAAAGCACTTCAAGGAGGTATAGCTGATGTCAAAATTAAACATAAGTGACAGAAGACAATACCAAAACCAGGAAATCAATGACTTATCCTGTTAATTATCAGAATAGTTCCCAGTATGTTTTTCTCCCAGATCAACCAGATCTTCCCTGAATTATAAGTGCTTGGAATAAACCACCTTATTTTGGAGACTGTGAGAGTTTCATTGCACAGATGTGGCCAATTTGCCCAGTTTTTGGTCTCTGAGCTGCAGCTGTCTGTAGTCCCAGCCTATTTCATGGGCTTTGCTCTTTAGCAGAGCTGGAGCAGTTCCCCTGCCTACAGGCTGGGGGCTGTGGGTCACCTCCAGCGCAACGTAAGGAAGCTGATGAGGAAAATGGGCCTTGCTGTGCTGTTTGGAAAAGGGTAGTTTTTCTCACCCACATGTTCACCATGAGCTGGAGCACCTTGTGTTTTATATAAACTGGTTGCCTCAAGGTAAAGGGGTTTTGCTGAATATGGAAAGATCAGCAAATCCTATTGGCTTTTCCCCAAGAATAAATTAAAACTAAAACCAGCAGCCCCTCAAAACCAAATAAGAAGTGAAACTAATAATATACCTCTGTGGGCAACACGCCCATAAATTCCCTTGGAGTGGGAGGCTGGGAAAAATGCCAAAATAAGTAAATTCCACTCTAGTCACCTGCTTGCCTGCCCAAGGTAGCTAAGCAGAAACAAGCTGAATGTAACTCCTATGACCGATTGCAATCAGATATCTGAACTTTGAAGTGACCTACATTACCTCCTGGATCACTGTAGCGGGACGGGTATGGCATTTTGAGCTTCATAAGCAAGTAAAGGCTTGGAGTCCAGGGTCTGGTGGTGGCCTCTTCTGTTGCAGTTCCACACTACCTCTAACATAATCAAGAGTTGTCTTTAAAGAAATAAAAACAAGCTTTCTGAAACAAGATTTCCCCAGGCAGCCAGTGCTGGTCCATTTCTGGTCCAGCCAGTTCTGCCCCAGCTCACATGCAATGTTTCGTGGTGCTGGTCATTGTGTAAGGTTTTTGAATCCAGACTTGGACACCTAAGTGTAGTGGTCTGCACATGGGCTGGGCACCTAACACCTCTTTCAACCAGTGCAGCCCAGTCAAAGCAGGCAATGGGGAGTAGGGGAAGTTTTAGACTAAAGTAGACATGGAAGCAAGCTAAAAGCAGCATCCCACCCACAGTGCGACAATGAGCAGAAGGCTTCCTACAGGAAGGGAAGCATGAATGTTCTCCTGTACTTTGAATTCAGGTGAAGGTATTGGGCCATGATTACAGAGGAAGTCAGAGATGTACAAAGTAGTTGATACATAGAAATTTGGAAATGCAGAAGGGGCATGAATTTCATTTTTTTGTACTCTAAAAATAGGAGGAGGAGAGAAGGAGAGGAAGAAAACATTACCTTGCTCCTTGCGAAAAAAACAGGAAACAGACAGAAGAAAAATTAATTATGAATTCAGAGAAATGAAAGCTCTGTAAAAAAATAAACTGAATCCTCATTCTTCCATTTTCAGAGATGATTCTGCCAGTGGTGTTCCTGTGTGTCGCAGCTGTGCTGTCTCCGTGCAGTGGAGAGGTAGGATCCACACTTCGTACACAGACAATCTGGGTGAGACCAAAGGCACTTGTGATCTGATTGAATACAGCTTTTCCTTTGCACACTGATCAACTGCACAAAGAGTCTGATTAGATATCCGGCATCTGGAAAGCATTTATCCTTGTAGTCTGTTTAATTGCAGAGCAGTAGACTGGTTCCACACTTTCACACTAAACTATCTATAGGCTCAGTGTTACTTATGAGTGGGGTCAGAGATAAATGACCCACACACAGATCCAGAAACACTAATGTGACTGAAAGCTTGACTCCATTTCCCCTTAATTCTTCAATTTCTGTTCTTCATGTTGCGGTCCAGAAGACCAGTGGGAATGGTTGTAAAGAGGAGGTTGAGTTCTGCATGTGGCTATTTTTTTTTTTTTAATTAGAAAACAGATGATAAGTTTGAGAAATGCTGTCAGTTATGGCAGGAGTGGAAGAAAATCTGTAGCATGAAAACCATAGGCACACTTTTTTATTCAGTAGCGTGAAGTGCCACAAGAGCTCTGTGACAATCCGGTGATTAAACAAGTTCCTGACATAAAAAAAAATTATAGGCATATTCAAAATACTGAAGAAGGGGAACACATCATAAGCACATTCATGTCTTTAGCCGATTTTTAGATCCTGTTTCCTCAAAACCTCATGAAGGAAATTATAATAATAGTAAATTAGGTCTGATTCGGTTGCCTAAATTTAAAAGTCTACAGGCAGATGAGACATCCCAGCCATCCAAAAAAGGTTGGCAGATGTGATGCAGGAATCAATGCTATTTCTGCTAAGCTCTACGTTGTTTAACCACTGAAAGTGCTACTCCCCATGGAAGGACCCCAGAGATACTTAGGAGACAAAACGTACAACAGTGTCTCCTCCATTACGAGGATCATCTCCTTGCTAGATATTAGTACTTTGGTATCTTAATATTTCCTAGACAGGATTCAGGACTTAGTTACATTCAAATAATTAAAAAAAAAAAAAAAAGAGACTACATTCAAATAATAATAATAATAAAAAGAAATATAACATGTTCTTTCAAATTTAGGAACCTGAAGGTTTTGATGATCTGTCAACTAGCAAAGAAGATCAGCAGGAGCTGATTGTTGACAAACATAATACCCTCAGAAGAGAAGTAAAACCAACTGCCAGCAACATGCTGAAGATGGTAAGTTGCATTCTGTAAATCTGTTTTTAATGAGTAATAGGCCCTATGAGAGATACAGAACTGTATGTAAGGTCACATTATTTTATTTAGCCACAAATTCACCCGATCTGTTTTTAATGAGTAATGGACCCTACGAGACATACAGGACTGTGTTCAAGGTTACATTATTTTATTTAGCCACAAATTCACCCTCCCAACCTTTCCTAAGGATTGAACAACACCAGCACCAAGAGAAACATAAATCTGGGCAGGTGGAAAAGAAAGTCTGGAAAATTTTGTGTCGTGTGAACCATAATATCTCTTTATTTTGGAGGAAAAAGAAAAAGAAAAGGAGGAGCCACAGCATTGTTCATTTATTTCTTATGCATTCTTCATCAGTCCTCACAGTTTCTATTCTTCTCCTGGGTATATAATAACTTTGTCCCTACTCTTCCTACCCCCCAAAGAGGGAAAAAAAGGATTTTGTGTATGATTTTTTCTGACTTGAAGTGTAATTTCCAAATGTTGTTCCTTCATGAGGGGTTCTTAATTGGTACATGTCTGAATGACTAATATATTCTTCTTTCATTAAGGAATGGTCTCCTCCAGCTGCAAACAATGCTCAAAAATGGGCCAGTCAATGTACTTTGAGTCACAGTCCTGCCTACCGGAGGACAACCAGTAAGTGAAGCATGAGTGCTAACTGAATAATGCCATACATGTTATTGATGTGAACAATTTGGGGTTTGCTTGTTGTTTTTTTTTTTTTTCTTTTGAGATGACATTTATATTCAATGTGATCTTACTAGTGCACCGGACAAAGGCAAAATTCTAGATATAAATCTGTCCAGTAAGTGGGAAAAGTTCAATCCCATTCTCATCCCAATTGCATCAGTTTTACATAAGTATATCCTATTTTCTTCAATAGGAGAAAAAAATCACATTGAGAAAGGATGTTCTCTCAAAATATCTATCAGAAAGAAGAGAATCTAGACCCAGTTTACTGCAATAACCCAGCTCACATGCGCTGAATGAAACTGTTTGGGAGGGAAAAGACAAAGGGTGAAGGTCCAGAACCCACTGGTGGTATTAAGCGTAATTGCTAAGACAAAATTCATAATTTTTAAATCCCCTGGCAGCTTGCAATTTATAACCATCTTGGAGGTGATAGCATTAGACACCTTCCTGTGTACCAGAAGTAAGCTTTGAATTATTGGGATTTTCCCAAGATTACTGAGCTGTGACCTGAATAATGACCAGGTTGCTAACTTTCAAACAGCAAAATTACAGTCATGGATCTGTGGTGGACATGTGCTGGTGTATCTACAGACAAAGTCTGTCAGCAACCAAACTACCAGCCAAACAGGTTGGCCATGCTGTAAACCGGTCAAGTGACAATCTCAGTATTGACAGAGCGTGATGTCAGTAGACAGGAAAAAAAACACAACTCCTCCCGGCTCATCTGGGATGAGAACTTCCCTGGAAATCATATCACCTTTTGCTGTCTTTTTCTCACATGCATATTTTTTGGTGCATTTCTCTTTTCAGATGTACTATGTGGTGAAAATCTCTTCATGTCTTCCGGTCCTTTCTCGTGGCCAAATGTTATTCAGGCCTGGTACAATGAGGAGGAAAATTTTGAATACGGAACTGGAGCAAAAACACGAGGTGCTGTGATTGGCCATTACACTCAGGTAAATGCAACTTTTTCATATTTCAGGCTGAAAAAATAAATATCTATATGTTAGCTAAGCAACATTTACCCTCTCATATTTGAAGGGAATAAGCACAATGAAGACATGAGAATTACTTAGACAAAACAAGATGAAATTTGTCAGAATTAAAATGAAAATAATAGGCTAAGTGTCCTTATGGAGTAAAGATATTGGTATTTCAAAACTTCAGGAAGAAACTTATTTGTTTGTTTATCCTCTGAAGATTGCTCAGACACTGGAAGAATAGGATTATTAAAGTATCAGGAAGGAAATACAAGTTTGTTACAGTCTACAGAGCTGCGTTGACTCATAGAGGTACCAGTCAGAAAATGGCTTACGACGACCCTGTTCCCCTGCACGAAACACAGGACAAAAAATTTTACATCATGGTTCCTACAACTTCTTCAACAGTTTTAATTGAATGAAAACATATATAACGGAGTCAGTTTAACTCAAACTTTCTATATATGTGTGTGATAAATTTTCATTGTATCCCAATTGTTGTTTGGTTCAGGGGTGAAAGTGGGAAGAGTGGGGTGAAGTTTTTTCAGCAAGGTGGGACTTATATTTTAATGCAAATGTGTTGTGGTTGGGCCCCAGCGGGCAAAACCAGCACACAGCTGCTTGCTCACTCCCCCACAGTGGGATGGGGGAGAGAATCAGAAGAGTAGGAGGGAAAAAACCCATGGGGGAGATAAACAGTTTAATAAGTAAAGCAAAAGCTGTGCATGCAAGCAAAGCAAAACAAGGAACTCATTCCCTACTTCCTAGAGTCAGGCAGGTGGGAGAGCAGGACTCCATCACACGTAACGGTTATTTGGGAAGACAAACACCATCACTCTGGATGTCACCCTCTTCCTTCTTCCCCCAGCTTTATATCCTGATCATGATATATGGGGTGGGATATCCCTTTGGTCACTTGGGCTCAGCTGTCATGGCTGTGTCCCCTCCTAACTTCTTGTGCACCCTCAGCTCACTCGCTGGTGGGGTGGGGTGAGAAGCAGAAAAGGCCTTGGCTCTATGTGAGCACTGTAGTACCAACACTGTTTCCAGAACAGATTCAAAACATAGCCTCATAGTAGCTACTATGAAGAAAATTAACTCTATCCCAGCCAAAAGCAGCATGAAAGGGTAAATAATGTGATTTGACTCAGTTGCAAATATTTCTTTAATGCATATTGTACTTAAAATATTTTCAAATGACTATTTTTCATTCAACCATGATCTTTGTTCTTACACCTACAGGTTGTTTGGCACAATTCTAATCAAATTGGATGTGCTGTCTCTTTCTGTCCCAACAGTATATACAAGTACTTTTATGTCTGCCACTACTGCCCTGCGTATGTATTGATTCTGATTCTGATTCGGGAATTTCTTATTACATTGCCAAAATTAGTTGGTAGATGCTGAAATTTCTCACAGGGCACATCACCCATAGCTGAGGAACAGGTTTGAAGAGTATATTGGGCGATGAAAAGACAGAAACGTATTCATCAAGAGAACTGTCAAACAAGCAAAAGCATAAAATACATAGAAGTGACACTTATTTTCAGATTGAATTTCATTTGCTTAAAAATTCTGATTTTCATAATAGTAAATCACAAATAAATATTTTCTGCGCTCTACTCAAAATCTTGGTTCAGAAAGGCGTATCAATGTGTAATGCCAAAAATTCAGTGGGAATTTTAAGGCAAAATGATAATGTTATGAACTGTCTAAAATTAATTTTAACGTTCACATTGTAATATATTGTGGTGGGTTGACCTTGTCTGGCTGCCAGTAGCCCACCAAGCCACTCTATTAACCCCCCTCCTCAACAAGATTAGGACAGGGAGACCGCTCACCGGGTACCAGCACAGGCAGCAGTGGGTCCGACTTGGAGACAGCTGGCACTGTCTCTCTCTGAAATAGGGGCAGCTTCTGGGGTTTTCTCACAAAAACCACCCCTGCCAATTCCCCCCTGCCCCACTACAAAAACCTTTCCAGATAAACCGAACAAGTATATAGAAATTGTTTGACATATAACCAAAGAGTGAGTGTAAATTTCTCTAAGTATGCATCCACATAATTAAGTTTTGTTCTCAGATTATACCTTATGTTGGTAATGTTGATGTTTCAGGGGGAATATACGAAGTTCAATTCCGACACCATACAAAAGAGGAGAACCCTGTGGTGATTGCCCTGACGCTTGCGAGGATGGATTATGCAGTAAGCTTTAAGCATTTTCATTGTGACTCGGGTAAAGTTGATGCTTCAAAGAAATCCCAATTAATTTATGCAGATGGAAAGTTTTTGAAATTTTTTCAAATACTAGGCTAAAAGCACTATTTCGGAACCACACTTTAGCATGCTAGGGGCTTTAACTAGGTGGGATGACTTCGGGAGTGAAACCAAAAAAAGACGAGTCTATGATAAGACATACCATGTTAGACAAATGTTATACAGTAGTTGATGTACATTGGGATGCAGATACGTTGCACTTCATGGATCAAGATATTCACATGGCCTAGATACCATCGCTAAAGACGACAACGTCTGGGTTTCCATAGGGAAACTCTCATGCATACTTCCTAGTGGGAGAAGATTGACTGAGTGTGAGGTCAAAGATACATTTATACCAATGGTACCACAGAAATCTCAGCTCCAGACTTCCAGCTGCAGTTTATATGCTTTTCCATACCCGTCAGAAGCAATTCTCATCCTTGAATCTAGGAAATGCCAGGGAAAGGAGGGGGCTTCACCTTTTTTCCTCCTCCTCCTTTGAACAATGGCATCTGTTCAGGTAGAAGTGGCAACACACTTGATAAGAGCAAGTAGCAAGTCTCAATTTTAAGAATTCTACCAGAAAATAAAAAAGCGTGGGCTGAGTCTCATAATGTGAGACTTCAAGTCTGTTACATAATTAACTTAATTCTCATCATAAGCTGTAGTATAAAGGAAGAGCACTTCAAAACACCTTGCAAGTTCAGTGAGAAACCTCCTTGAAAGATTTAAGACTTCTGTACATGTAGTCAAAGGTTTTGGATGCTGCTGTAGAATAAATGGTAACAAAGAAAGAAAAATACAGATACAAGAAATATTAATGAAAAAATATTCTAAAAGGAAATGCTGCAGGTTCTCATTTCCCAATTATGATTAATTTTGTGTTCAATTCATTTACAGCCACACTTTGAAAGTTTGAAGACGTTTACTACAACTTCCTTGGCAAAGTCTCCTGGATGTACCCACAGCTTTCATAGAGTTCACTGCCCTGCTTCCTAACTGAAAAAAAACAACAGGCTCAATTTTTCCCTTCCTGGACATCCATCTCCTTAGTGACTTCTTTCAAAAAAACAGATTCCTTCCTGCCTCTCCAACATGTGCAGAAGGACCAACTCCATTCCAGTGCCTCACATGAGAAAAAGCTGCAGGAGGATGTATATATTCTATCTATATAATGGTCTAGAACATAGTGGTGATCTTAACTGAAATTTGGCATTTGGGTACCAGATATATTTAATGGTTAGTTTCTCACATCTTTCTTTTCCCAAATTGTTATCTAAGGAGCATTGCTTAAAGTTCTGTGGTTCCATATATTTCATATGTTCTCAATATAGATGGATAGTCTTCGGTCATGCAACTAGTCTTACCTTGGCCAACATTTTGAACTATGTACTGTTAGCAGGACCAGAAGATAAACAGGATTACCTGAAACATATAGTTCTCAAAAGGAATTTGGAGAGCAGCGTGGTTTCCACTAGAACTATTCTGGTTTAGAATCTGTATCTTTTTCTGACGTACATTCTATTGTAAAATGCTCAGTCATGTTTAAATGTAAGGAAAAAAAGTGTATTTCATTTAAATTAATGATCCTGCTTGTAGTATAAGATTGCACTTAACATAAATACAGGTAACAAAACCTGCCCTCAAATGGAAAATACCTGCCTGAGAAAAAATAGATAACCAAGGGGAAAGGTCCCTGCATTTGGAAAATTTGCTTTTAATAACAACTAAGTGTGTCTTCCAAAATTATTTTTAATATCTGTTTTTGCTGTATCAATCATTAAATTACTCATTCTTCACTGACCAATTCATTCTAACTTTCCTTCTTTGTTATTACCATGAAATACAGTTCCCTTAACGTCCACCAACTTTGTGACTTTATCAGCATTAGGTCTTGAAGGGAGCCTCATACTTTAGCAGCATAAGAAAAATCAGTTCATGTGAGAAACTGAAGATTTCCTAGGCTAAAACAGAACTCAGGTAAACAACTTTTCTCCAGACTCTCTTTTACAAGGAACGACCATTACAATCATAAGATGCAATACTCCCTTCTATGACCTTTTCTACTGTGCAGTCAACAGTGGGACTAAATATTATTTTAGTCTCACCTTACAATGGTTTCACATTGCCAACCTTTTAGTAAGGAAGCTGCTGTCACAACTGAGATTCCAAGTCCCAGAGTCTTTGGCACAGAATAATTTCAGCACACGCTTCTGACTCATTCATTTCAGTGGCATTTCTTCTAAGGTGAAAGATGAGCATTAGGTTAAAAGCCTTGTTTCACAATTCGGAGTGCTTATTGTTTGGGATGTTTTCTTTTGTTTTGTTTTTCTCTTTCATCTCCATCACTTTTTCCCCCCATGGTGCACAGCCCTCTTTTGGGTACATCTCCACTTGTAAGTTAAGCGATGCCAGGACATAGACGTGAGTGATGGAACATCATTTACTGCACTCTTGAATAGTTAGCACAGACCCAATAAGAATGATGACAATGCAATAGCTAATCCAGCATTGTTGTCGTCAAGGAAATGGGTAGACCCCCCCCCACTCCTAAAAAATTCCATTTACTGTGAGCAACTGGTCTAGAAGTCTATTCCTTTCCATAGTAACCCATAACACAAGAACTGATTTCTCAGTCACTCACAAGAGGAAACAAATAGTGTAACGAGGTAAAACCAGCCCTCAGACATCTCACCCATGAGGATCCAAGAAAATAAAGGTCAATAAGCCTACTTTAGATAGCCAGGGGGATAGTGGTGCAAATTGTTTGCCAGTCATTTTGTAATCAGTGGAGTATAAAATACCAGCATGGATTTACCACAAGCTGATCCTGCCAAACCAAACTTTCTTTTTCAATTAGTGACTCGGACAAGTGGATGTGGTTTCTGGCTTTGGCAGCATGTTTGACAAGGTTGCAAAAGACATTTGTAGACTAGAGAGATGTGGTTCAAATGACAGTAACAAGACACGGTGCACACATGCTATTGAACGCACACATCCTTGATGCTCCTACACAGGGGGCAGGGACGAAGGCCTCTGGCAATGCAGGTGGGGTCTGCACAGACGGACAGTACCCCCAGCCACAGCTAACTGCACAGTTGTTGCATGTGATGCCCATGGCCTTCCCCGTCCACAAGTGACAATCACAGTTGAGAGCTTTTGCCGATGCTACGGAAAACCTTCACTGAATGCTTTCCTGGGTAAAAGAGGGTCAGAACCACATTCCCATTTGCACAAGCACAATGTAGGGCATTTTCTTGGACAAAAACAAGTTCTAAGTTCCCATATTACTTCCAACAAACATTAAGAGCTGATTATGGAGGTGTTCAAGGCCAGGCTGGATGAGGTTTTGAGCAACCTGGGCTAGTGGGAGGGGTCCCTGCCCCCCATGGCAGGGGGGGGAACTAGATGATCTTGAGGGTCTCTTCCAACCCAAACCATTCTGTGACTCTATGATTCTATGTTCTAAGAAATACACCAGAATTTTAATCCATTACAGCTTAGTATAAAATTAATAACTGTTACTTAGGAGAGACAAGAGCTGGAGAGGTAATATCAATCGATAGATCGATGATGGTATAAACAACCCTTGGAGCAGGAAACCCATCGTGTCCTGTGCTGTGCTACAGAGACATTGAGCTACTCCTGTTTTCTTCAAAGTATTTTATATTCTTTTTCTCTCCAAATGGACATACTTTTGATGGGTGAAGTACAGAATATTTTCCTCACTTATCCCAAACAGCATTTAACTTAGTGCTCACAGTACCTTCTTTATAAACATGGGCTTTACTGCAGAATGGCATTGTATCAGATCTCCTTTTCCCCTGACACATTCATAGAATCACAGAATGGTTTGGGTTGCGAGGGACCTTAAAGATCGTCTAGTTCCACCCCCCTGCCATGGGCAGGGACACCTCCCACCAGCCCAGGTTGCTCAAAGCCTCATCCAGCCTGGCCTTGAACCCCTGCAGGGATGGGGCATCCACAGCTTCTCTGGGCAACCTGTTCCAACCAGTGTCTAACCTCCCTCACACATTCTCTCACTACAAAGCAAATTAGTAAAAAGTAGACCACCACCACAACCTTTTTTTTTCATTTAAGCATATATTGGAAGGAAGATGGCTATGACCACTGCTTTATGTGGGGTCCAGCTACTGGTCTTTCTTGGGCATGAGAAAGTCTCAGTGACTGACTCTGGTGCCATATGGTTATGCTGCAACCAGGCAATGCTGGTAAAAGACCTACAGCCATTATTACAGCTATTTCATAATGTACTCCAAGACAGTGTGCCTTGGCCCTGATAGCTCCCTGCAGCCACTGGGACCGTCCGTTCCTCCTAGCACGTCCTATTCCTGGGTAGTTTCACTTTTCAAGGAGAAACTCTTGAAAGCTTTCCTACCTTTACGAAGGATCCAGAGTAGACAAGAAGCTGCCATGGGAGGGTCTGTGGAAAGGGGTCATTTCCCATTCCTCCTCTAAGATGCAGTAGTTCTCTCACTTGTACAATGATGTAATGGGAACAGTCAAACTTTACGGTATGAACAGTTCAGTTAAGGCAGAATCGTGTCTGTCACTGTTACAAAATTAAAGTCCTTTAATGGCAGGTAGAAAAATCCTGCAGCAGGCAGAACTGAGTTTGCTCTCTCCCTAAATTTGATATCCAACAGTCATGACATGCTTTTAGCACCGAAACAGAAACTTTAATGTCATTTTGCAAATGTACCATCATTAGTTACAAAACTTCTGGATCTTCCCAGAACTTATGCAGCCTTCTGAAAGCTGTAAGACGGATGTATTTTACACCCCTCTCATGCTGTAAGCCTTCATTCACTTCTTTCTCAGAATTTGAAGAAATGTTCTTGGAACCTGCAAAGCAAAGATGTGCAGTACACTTTTAAATGTGTGCCTAGAGTCTAGATTGATTTGACACTTTAAAGTGTTACAGC